CTTTGATGCCTCAGAGTTGTGATGTTGGAGATGTTGCTGTTGTTAAGTGCCATCAAGTCAACTATGACCCTCAGCAAGCCTATGAACAGCAGATCTGAACCCTGTCCTATCCTGTGTCATCCTCATACTTCCTGACACACTGGAGCCCATTGCAGCAGTTGTTGTGTCAATTCACCTGGTCGAGGGTCTTCCTCTCCTTCGCCGCCATCCCTCCACCTTTTCAAGCATGAGCTAGCTCCCTTCTCCTTTCATTTTTCCAGGGGTGTGGGAAGACCTAACTTATGCTGAGAACTGATAGGAGTTAGATAGGGTGGAGGAAAGAGCATTCTAGAGAAAAGAAACAGCAAATGAAAAATCCAAGAGGTAGGAAAAGAGAACTTTAAAAAGGTTAAGTGTATACTCAGGTTTCACTCTGGAATTTATCAATCCTTGGTCCTTCACCAAGGATTTCTGGAGCTGGAGCTACTATGAGTTAAACGGCTGATTTAGAATCAGGAAGAATGGTAAAAAAAGGGTGAAGCTTTTGCATGAGAGCATGGACTTATCTTCATGGAAACTTCAACCAAGACTGCTTCCAGTGTAGATGAGGCAAAAAACATTTAAAAAATCCAAGGAGTTATTGACATAAATAATGAGGCAACAGGCATTAAAATTGGCCCTCAGCATGCTGCTACTAACACAGTACAGGCCGGGGGCGGGGGGAGGGAGGCCCACTAGCAAGGGGCGGCTGAGTGCTTCCACCGTCTCGCTGCCCACACATGGTCTCCTCACTTGTTCTTTCACCCTCTCCTCCTACTCAACTGAGACACCAAACTATTAAAAATGTTGCTGAAGACTTTGCTCCTTCAAATTCTTTCAATAAATGTTCTCATAGAAAAGCGGGGGAAAAAAGGTCAAGTGTGACTGGCGTGTTGAGAGCCAGGAGGAGAGTGGGTAGAAGTGGCTGAGAGGTAGACGGAACAGTTAAGAGCAGTGCAGGGTGTTAAGCATGCAGTATGATCAGAAGAGGAAATTAAACATCACTCTGGTTACTCGGTGGCGGAAGAGGGTAGTAATCAGGAGTGAAGGCACATGATGGTGCAGGGCTGGGCACTAGTGGAGGAAACAGGTATTTTGGAGGCTGACTTGAGGACTTTTGTTTTGGCTGCTGTATTTGAATGAATGATGATGTCACTTGCTAATGTGAAGAATTCTCGAGGAGCAGCAAGTTTCAGGAGTAGATAAAGATATTTTAGTCTAATTCAGAAAAGCAATATGGTCTGGAGAGTTAAAAAAAAAGTAACTGTCACGTTGTTGCTAGATACCACTGAGTCAGCACCATGCTCATCATCCCCAACTCAGTTACACCCATTGCTGCAGTCACTGTGTCCATCCAGCTCATTGAGGGTCTTTTCCGCTCACCTCTACCTTAGTAAATGTGTCCTTTCCAAGAAATAGCTCTCCTAACAAAATGCCCAAAGTATGTGAGATGAAGTGTTGCTTTGGCTCCTAAGAGCATTCTAGCTGCACTTCTCCAAGACATATCCGCTTGTTCTTTTAGCAATGCATGGGACAGTCAGCATTCTTTTCCAACACCCAACTCAAAGACATCGGTTCTCTTGTCATCCTTATTCACTGCCCGGCTCTCAGAGATACAGAAGGTGCTTGGAAAGACTATTGCTTGAATTGGGCACACTTTACTCTAAATGGACATCATTGCTTTTGAGGACTCTTCAATTTACAACCTCAAGAGGAGGGAACTGCATGCAGACAGAAGGTGTAGTGTGAGAAGAGGTTCTAGAAGTAAGATCAGGATAATTCCAGCATCAAGCCAAGAATATAGAAGGGAGGTAAACAGAACGACCCATCTCAAAAGGAGGGCTTACAAACTATTTCCCATCAGAATTTCTTCTGCTCCTGGTTCATCCAGCCTTCTGTTGATTCTAACTGGTCCTAGTATTTACACTGAGAATCCATTCAATTACTCAACAAATATTTATCAAATTACTGATATGAAGAATCACTAGAGATAAGACAGTTCTCACCCCCAACAAACTTAGATTTATGAGACATTGAGATCTTGCTAAAATGCTATAGGGTAGCAGTAAGATGTAACTCTATTCCCCAGAGGAATTAAATACGTCCTGTAGGTATGTTGCTAAGTACTGTGGAGTTGGCTCTGACTCACAGAAACTTATGTACAACAGAGAAAACATTACCCACTCTTGTGCCTAGTGCACTGTTGCTGCCACCGTGCCAGTCTTAAGGAGGGTCCTTGTCTTTTCCAGATCCTCTGTTTTACCACTTTCCCTAGGGACTGCAGATAACATGCAGTATGTGAAGGGTTGGAAAATGAGGTTCTGCCATCTTTACTTCTAAGGAGCAGTCTGGCTACACCTCGTCAATTTCAGGTTTGTTCTTATAAAATCTGAAAGCATCAATTCTGCACTGTTCCTAATTTTTTAACTTCCACATGCAATTAGGTGCCTGAAAATACCATGGCTGAGGTCAGATACATTTTAGATATTCAAAATCTTTGGCGACTGGATTCAAGGTCTCTGGGTTGTAATGGGTCTACTGTTCAAAAAAATGTAGAGTTGGTGCTGCTTTCTAGACCCAAGCTGTGTATTCTAATCAGTGTACTGTACCAGTGTATGTGTACGTATGTATGACAGTCTAGAAGGACATGCGGTAAGGTGTTAACACGGAAACTTCCAGAATTTAAGATTTTTCTTTTGCCTATGAGTACTTTCAAAGAATGCATGTAGAATGCTTATGTGGAGAATATGTCAAAATATATTTATCTATATGTAAGCATAACCGAAATAAGGCCCATGGCAGACAGTGTTGGGTAGAGCGCCCCGATTAAAACAAGCGTGGAAGCAGGAGTGGCATCCACTTCCGTAAATAGCGTGCCTCCGGAAACCCTACTGACCTGGAGCGAGGATGAAAGTCACACAAGTGTTGAAGACTTTCCTTTATAGGGTCACTATGTCGCCCGTGGCTTTGACAGCACTTAACAACAAGTATAACAGGTAACCCCTTAAAGGAATTACATTAGGCATTTCTGATTTGTTCATCTTAGTACTAAAAAGAAAATAAAAAAATTCAAGTCATTTTGACCAACACAGTGCCAGGTAGTTTAGCCTTTCCCGTGGGCAGCCCAGGCAGTGAGGAAACACTGCACCTCCCCATGCTCCATGAGGTTTACAGTGGCTGGGTTATTGTGATCAGGGTGGCAGGCACAGACACACTGGCTTATTTTTGGAAGTAGATTGCCAGGCCTTTCTTTCCAGCCCGTCTTGGTCTGAAGGTGCCACCAAAACCTGTTCCACATCACGGTGCCATGAGGCCACTGCTGGGATGCCAGGCACTGCCCGTGCAGGAGGCAGCCTGGCCAGAACACAAAGCTGAATCTCTCGAGGAAAGGGAATTCTCCCATGGAACCACTCATGGCTCAGCACCCGGGAGCAGAGGGATGCATGGTGCTCAGAAGAACCAGAAGAGCCGACTGCACTTCTGAACAAAAATGAGGAAAACCAGGGTAGGGTGGCAGTGTCAGCAATTCTGAAAGCAGGGCAATGGGTCTGTCACATCGTGTCATAAAAGGGTAGGAAGAATGATCGTCTTTGCAGCGAGAGGATGTACCATGTAGACACCAGATTGTCCACATCTTTAATGATGTCGAGTGATACACAAAAGAACAGATATTTGTATTCTGGTAATTCCAGAATTATCTTTAGGATACTTTTAATCACTAAAGAAACAGAAACATAATTCAGATGAAATATTCATCTTTAAAATTTATTAAACAAGATATAAATACAAAAGGAAACCCCTAGTTATAAAAGATGTTCTGTCCAAAAATTAAGTTATAATAAAAAAATTCAATAGAAATGAAAATTTATATATACCAAGAACTGCAAACAGTGTTTTCAGTGACTGGCAATGCTTCATGTTACTTGTGTCGTATTTTATACGATTGCTACCTGCTAATTAAAAATGATATTGAATGACTGATTTTTAGGTGGCTTTGAATACATTATTTGGATAAATCAGGAACAAAGGTACCTCAACTCTAAATTGTATTAGAGCTCTAGAATCTCTCATTTCAATTACCATCCCCCATCCTCCTCGAAAAGGTTTCACACAAAAGTTATTTTAAAACTAGCATTAGAATGTCTCTTACTAAAAGCATGGTAGCAAATGCTTTAATTACTTTATAAAAGAGATGTATTTTTGGTATCATAAATAGAAAATTTATAAAATTTATATTTATACAATTGCATATAAAAGTATCTGTAGGATATAACCTATATACAATTTCAGAAGGATGTAAAGCAGTTTTCAAATATCAAAACTTGGTACTACTAAAATGGTTAACAAGGTAGGTAATCATTAATACATGCTATGTATAGGCATAAAGTAAACAAAAAAAATTAGTATCTTTAAAATCCTAATTAGCATTTAAAAATGTTTCTAAAAAGGACTCATTTTGGTGTTTGAGTAAGAATTGTGGAATAGCGAGAAGCTGTTCCAGGGCCTGCCCACAAATTCTGGACCACAGAATTCAAGTGCGTGAACAGGGGAAACTAGAAAGCAGACAGGAGTAAGGCCTTTAAAAACACACAAACTCAAAAGACAGAAAAGAATGTCACAATAAGTAAGCTTCTAGTTTGATTCAATAAGATCAAAGTGCTTAAAAGAAATAAAAAGGCAACAGCATTAATTACTCTTAAGTGCCATCAAACATTAGTTATCAAAACAACTTTATTAAGAACCATTCACAGTCCAGCTACTTACATGTCACTGCATTAATATTACAAGGCCTTGTTCAATCAAACTTCCAATATGCATCCGTTTTCTCTGTTTTATCTTACACATGTACATGAAGATCAGGGAAGCTTAAATAATTTTTACTCTGTTAAACTTTTACTCAAAGATGCAGGTAGGATTTTATCAAAAGTGAATTAAGATAGGAACTGAACAGGAAGAATGTTAAGACTTCCATGAAGACATCATCATGATCTGAAATGACTGAAGTTTTTTACTTCTTGCTCCATTTTCTAGACAAAGGGTAGGAAGAAAAAAACATTACATTTTAATAAGAATCGTTATTTCACTACTATTTTATCTTTATCAAACTACTTTAAGGATATTAATATTCATGTACATATTGACAGAATAAAAATTTAGTTCAATATTTGTAAGACTGTTACATAAACTGTTACTCCTGAAGGAGGTTCATTATTTAAATGTTTAAAGTAAGTCTGAGACAAGTTCATTATACATTCAATTCAGATAGTCACTGTCAAGCAAGCCCTGGTAGCCTAGCAGGTAAGAAGTTGTGCTGCTGATTCAAAGGCAAGTGGTCCCAATCCACCAGCTGCTCCTGGTTAAAAAGGGGAGCAAGCTCTTCCTCTGCGATTTATAACCTCTGAAAATCCTCTGGAGGCTTGGCTATGAATAGCTCGATGACAATAATCACGATCACATAATCATAGTTAAGTTACTGGTGTTATTTATTAGATATTAGTAACTATTTCATCAATATCAGTATCACCAAGCCATTATCTATTTTTAAAAGCCACATTTTATGCCCACTACACAGTAAGATTAAATCAAGTAGATTAATCTTAAAAGTAGATCTATTAAAGGTGCTAAATATCCTTAGGGTTCACCCCCCACCCCTTTTTCATAGTATCCTAACAATTACTGTAGTTTCAAAGCTGGTATCAGAGTTCCATCATTTAAGAGACAGGCTAATGAAGTGTGAGATTTAAAAATGATAGGACTCAACTGTACCTACTAATAATTCATAACCTACTTATTGAAAGTTTTCAAATTCTTACATTTTTTATACAGAATAAACAAAGCCTCAGTAATCTTATTTAAATATTATGTGATAATTACAGCATTTAAAAAGCTACATATGAATAGCTTACCTGAATAAGTGCTGTTTTGTCATAGTCCCTACGATGCTGATAAATACACTGGCTGATTATGGCATACAAATTTTCCAACTGAAACACATTGTGTTTTTCACTTTTCTGAACAACAGTCTTCAAAAGGTTCTAAAAGAAAACAGGAGTGTTTAGCTATGTGAGAGACAAATTCGGCAGACCAGATGATTGTAATTTGAAGATCTGGGGAGACTGTTAGCATATAAACCAGAGAGAGGCCCGACAAGCCAATCAGATGAGGTGGGAGGGCCCTAGGAGGGGCCAACACTGAGCTGCAGGTATTCCCTTCACAACACTGGGACCAGGCCTCTGCCTGGGACACTCCTTTCCAAACCTGGGGCTGAAAAATTTGCCAAATTCAGTTCTAGCAAGAAACCTCCCTTGGTAAATTAAAATAACCTCAAATAATATTAATAGATAAAACCAAAACTCGATGTTTACCTAGGTGTTTCATGGGACTACAAGTCCATGATAATTCCCCCTAATGTGAAACAAAGAGAAATCCTACATAAATGGATAATAACCTCACCACATCAGGATTTTTCCTGTGAAAAAAACTCTTTCATCAGTTCAGTGTTCTTCCTCACGACAGAGATGACAGACTCAGTGGATTCCTGAGGTCTGGTCCTACCAGCACATGTCCCTCCCTACCTCACAGTTAACAAAAACCCAGTACTATGGTTAAGGGAAAACCATCTGTGATGGTCCATAGGTATAAAAACAATACCTGAGATCAATGATCACAATGGTATATCCAAAAACTAAGGTAGGCACACCAGTCATTCCAGAAGATGGTTTTTCTACAGTTAATTTATCTTTTCCTAAAGAGTTATTATGCGATTACACAGTAGTATCTCTTTAGATTGGCTATGTTTATCAGAAAAAGTATATATGAGAGTCTCAGTAAATGGCTTTTCCTCACTGCCGCTATGCGATATGCCTGTGTACCAAGCACCACAAAGCTGGGAATTTTATATCAACTGATGTGAGAGCAGTACCTGTCCCAATAGCTCCTCCCACCACCAGTATGCTATAGAACCATGGCGTTAGAACTTCATGCATAAGGAGTAAGTAATCCACCGTCAGGGACATTAGACTTATAAGGACCTTTCGTTTCAGACATATTTTCAAAGATATTTTTCAGGCACATTTAGGTTGTTTGGAGAAACTGCCCCATCAGGATCGTCTTCTTTAATGACTCTACTGCGCGTCAGTTTCTTAGTAACTGTTAAATTCCACTGTACAAGTAAGTCATCTTTGACTCTGTGGCATGATGTAGCTATGTTATCTCAATAACAGTGAGAATAAAATAACAGTGAAAAATAAAAAAGGTAAATTGGAACTAGGAGATCATCATCTCATCCTCCTCAAGAAAGAAGAAAACCAATTAATTTACTTTGTTAGCTGGGGAAACAGGATTGTTGTACAGGGTTGCCAGGGATCGGAGATTTTCAAATGTGGAGTCACATTACAAAAGTGACACCTATTCTAAGAGTAAAAGAGAATGACTAAGAAAGACCTCAAGGAGCTAACAGAGGAGGAACAAGGCAAGTATGTCTTAAGGATTTAAGCAGCAAGGAGACAGTTATCAATACACTGTTAAGTGATACAAATGAGACAGGAAACAATTCAGCTGCGGGAATTATTTCTAGCTCTTTGAGAATAACCTTCCTGAGCAACCAGCTATTACTTTGGTGTAGTCATCCCTTTTATTATAATGGAAGGAAAGTCTAAGTGAGGGGGAGCGAACAAGAGGGGACGGACAATGTGTGGAGGGTAAGAGCAGCTATAGACCAGAATCATTAGGACTGTTTCTCTATGGTTCATATCATAGAGCCTCAGATGCAAATTCCTCTTTGAGGAAGGGGAAGGAGAGAACAGTAAAAGAAGATGGAAGGAGAAAAGAAATTTACTGTCCGTATCCTCCTGATGCGGCCAGCCTGTCACTAGTTCACAACCCAGTGTCTGGGGAGTCCCAATCCACACACAGGAGGCATTCAGATTTCTAGGTACCGACCTTTAATCGTTCATGGTCCACCACAAGTGAGGGTGTGGGCTGAGACAGAATTGCCAATGCCTTTTCAACACTGATAAGCTGCTGCTGTTCTACTTGGGAACGTCTTGCTCGAGTCATTCGTAGAACACATTCTAGAATGAAAAAGCAAATAACTATTATTCAGTCCTCAGACATTTTAAGGTCTAAAACAACCAAAGGACTTTACTGCTATCAAGTCAATTCCCCCCTCACGGAGACCCTGCAGGACAGAGCAATGCTCACCAGGCTGCAATCTTCAGGGCAAGAGACCACCCCATCTTTCAGCCACTTTTCCAATTAGTTCCAGAGCATTTAACTACTGCACTGCCATGACTCCAAAAAGTAAATATTCGGCAGGTTAAATAACAGGGCTTGTTTACTAAGACTTGCACACAAATTCTAACTATCACTGCTTTCTGCTATTAAGATGTTGCAGTGGTATAGTATGTAATTCAGCCGGCTGCTAAGCCAAAGCCCAGCAGTTAGAATCTACCACCTCCTCTTTAGGAAAAAGATGGGCAGTATACTTTGATGAAGATTACAGCCTCAGAAATCCAGGAAGGACAGTCTTGACAGAGGTAAGGTTTGGATTCTTCAGGGTTGCAGAGGTCACATCTAGCCCACTGTTGTAATGAAGGTTTTACTGGGAGACAGTGCCTCCATTTTACATCCTGCCAGGGGCTGCTTTCATGGCAAGCTGAACAGCAGGTTCACTGAGATTAAAATATTTACTACATGGCCCTTTATAGAAATAAAGCCTGATCACCTACTTAGAACAACTGACTAACAGGTGAGAAAAATGAAGACAAAAGAGGTGAAGTCACATACCTAAGTATTACCAGAGCCAAAGTCTTTTCACATCGGAGCACTGTATTTAATTACAGTACAGTTTTATAGATTTGTAAAAGTGAAATAACGTTGACTCTAAATGAAATACATTAAATTATATTCCCTGGGAATTAACAATTACAATGTCTAGAAAGGCAATTACCAAGTCCATCTTTGCTATAATTAAGCAAACACACCAGAATACATTTCAAGACATATAAACCACTGGAAAAAAAAATCAATCTGATTAACTTATAGTCCATACATGGCTCCAAGTTAACTTTTGGCTTTGTTAACTACCTATTTATGTTGGATTATTTGGCTCTAAATAACTATTCAAAACCCTCAACAAACCTACTATCTTTGAGAAGATTCACATCGGTAGGCCATCTACAGTGTGGCTGACAGAATGATGGGAGGTGCTTAACAGATGTTCTATATCCATCAGCTAGAAGCTTAAGAAATGGTTTATTTAGGCGAGCTCTGATGGCCTAGTGGCAAGAAGCAGCACTGCAATCCCAGAGGTGTGCAGTTCAAATCCACCAGATGCTCTGCTGAAGGAGGAGGAACAATTGCCTCCTGTACTAATCAGATCTGATTTGACGGTACACACATTAAAAAAAAAAAAAGGTTTATTTAGTTTAGAAATGAGAAAGTATGTCTTGTCAGCTTTTTTGTTTTGATGTCTCAGACAGAGTCTGTTTACTCTTCAAGTATCTCATCACCCAGGAACAATCTAACCAGATTTTGCAGATGAAAAAACAAACTGACAAGTAACTTGCCCAAGGACACAAGTTATAAGTGGTGGATGAATGGCTCAAATCCAGGTCTGTTTGGTGACAAAGTCTGTCCTTAAGTGATTTATTAGCTCAACAGTTACTAAGTAAATAAAATGCTACTATTCTCTAAATTAATATTTGCCCTCTTAAAGACATGGGCAAGACACTAAAATGAGATGGCTGTCTCTTAGGAATGCAGAGCGAAAAAACTCTTTCAAAATAACTCGCTTTTTGATTAAGACTTACCACTTGCTTCATTTTCATCTAAATTATCGATGATCTGAGAGCCAGAAGTATCTCCGTTGCAAACAATGTTATTTTTTCTCAGCTCTGTACATGGTGTATTCTTCCTAGATTCTTCCCCGTCATTCTCAACATTATTTCCCAACTTCATTTTGCATTCAGGGGCACTTTGCTGCTTCTCGTTTTCTTCCACTGACGAATCTCCTGTGTTTCCGGTCTCATGCTCCACACTAGTATCCTGATTTTCTTCCGTCTCACTCTCAATTTTGCCATCCAGGACACTCTGGCTGTCATCTTTTGCCTGTGAAATTTTCCTTCGTTTTCTTATGGTACCTAAGTACCACTTAGACTTTTTGCGAATTTTCCTCTTCAGTTGAGCTTAAAAGAATTTTTTTAAAAAAAGAAGAATGTGAACAATAGTTTCTAAAATCTTAGTAAGAAGTATAAACACTCTGAGGAAAAAAGCCAGAGTTGTTCTAGAATGTGGAACAGGAAAACAAGAGAGTATTGTGAGAAGACATGGGTACAGTCCAGGTTATAAAATCATCTTAAGTATTTTTAAGGCAGGCAACAATGTGATCTGCCTAGCATATATTTTAAAAAGATTCCTTTGGCAGCAGTATGAAGAGCTGGAGAAAGGCAAGACTGATAACAGCCTGCCCTTACTGAAAGGCTGCAACACACTCAGCTAAGACACTGGTGTGACCAAACACACTTCAATTTCACTTTAACCTGATGAAGTTTGCGACCACTGCCACCATTTTACAGACAAAGAAACTAAAACACAGAGATTATGACATGTTCTGCCTTGACTAAAGGTGGATTACCACACTGCAGTAGTAGTTCTGAGCTACAGGGACTGAATGCAGGGGGCAGAGCCTTTGGAAACATGATTTCTAGATTGAAAATTTGGCCTCCTATTAGAAGAACTAATGCAATCCACTCCTTTATAAAGAATAGAAACTGAGCAAGAAAGTAAATGATGCCAGAAATGACAAAGCTTTCAATCTCAGGGAAAAAGATGCCTGTGCACTTACCAGGTGTGCTGCAAGCCATGGGGGTGCTGGACACCTTCAGCTTCTCATTCTGCTCTGGATAAGACCTCTTGTCACCAGCTGGAGTGGAATTCTGCTTTGGCATCACATGGTAGTAAGACGGGGCGTACTTGGAAGAGCTACAACCTTATAGAAAACAAGACATATATAATGTCAAAGAGGAGTTCCAAATAACATTGAAAAGACTCAGTTTGCTACATCTGTAAATGGGGCATTTGGCACGTCTGTCTGATGCCAAATCATTTCCCTACCTCTCTTCTTTCTAGACTCCTGAATTTCTTCACAAAGCTTCTCAAAGTCTTCATCAAGTTCTTCTTTAATTATTGCATAGGCAGTGTCTCTTAAAGCACAGGCTCTGTGCCTAATAAGACGATCTGGGGAAAAAAGGAATGAATAATATTTCTCCCTCTTAATACTTTTATAAAAAATAACAATTCCTCCTGACTCTGAATATGAATAGTTGAAAGTTACTAGAATTGTTATTTTGGTTTTGATCTAAATGATCTGGACATTTGATTATTTGGTAGACCAACTCCAATTTTATTGCTCTGCCCTAAACAGATTCCTCTGAAGCATCCCCCACACAATGTCTAGGAATTAATCAATAGCAAGACTAAAACAACAAAACTACAAAGACAGTGATGGTTACTTGTGTCCACTGTTACGTACCATAGAGTCAGAACCAACTCCTAAGTGACACTCCTCTTTCGAGGCAGCATGCTGCACAAGAGGAGACTGCTGTTCCACACCATCAAGTCAGAACCCACTCAGAGGTGACCACCCCAATTTCGAGGCAGTATACCGCACAAGAGTAGACTGCCTAATTCCTTCTGAGGAGCAGCTGGTGGATTCACACCACATGCTTTTGGGTTGGCAGTGCAACTCCTTACCACTCAGCCACCAGAGAAACCTGGTGTTCATTAGGGAACCAGAAATATAAATTCATTTCTCGAAGAGATCTGTAGAATGTCACTACTGTTCTGCAAGGAAAACTGAAGAAAGGCAATGAAACAGTAACTCAACACAGGAAACACTGGGGAATCCAGCCCTTGAGAACATTTCAAGGCAGAAGACAGGTGTTAACTGGATGCAAGATTGCTTGAACTGCTGGATCAAGTCCCATCACAGAAAGCCTTCCTAAGACTACTTCCTTCAGTTTTCACTCTCAGGTTTTAGCTGACAAAGTTTCCAGGCAGCACGATGCAGGGAGCATCTAACATGGAATTCTGTCGAAGAAGAAAGCTAAAGCAACAGTTCTCAAAAGCAGAAGGCCTGGCCGAGCACTATCACCTGCAAACTTGTTATACACATGAATCCTCAAATATCATCCTAGATATACCAATCAGAACCTCTGCAGATGGATCTAACAAACCTTATTTTAAAAAGTCTTTATTGGATTCTGATTTGCACCAAAGTGCGATCATCACTGATCTAAAGCAGTGTTCACTGACACAGCAGACAGAAAGAAAAGTTGCAGCATCATGACTGCAATGAAATCAGCTCTCTCCAGGGTAACTAACTGCTTCCTTCACTCTATTTTTTACAGTTAAGGGATGTTCCTGCTTTTCTTTCCCATCGTATAACTCCAGAACCCTGAAATACTAACAAGGGCCTGAGGATTAGAGGATCTAGGTGGGGAAGAACAGTGGCCCTTTCAATTGCTGAAGAGTGTTCTTCAACATACTTGAGAAGAATTAGAACTATTAAAAACATTTTAAGGACCTACATCTATAAGAACAGGATAGTAAAAACTGTGAGAACATATCTTGGAAAAGAATAAGTGGTGGCAGAACAACCATTAAAAAGAATACTTTTTAAAAAAATTTTTATTGTATTATTTTTATGTGTACTGTCAAATCAGATGTGACTGGTACAGGAGGAGATTGCCCCCTCCTTCTCCAGCAGAGCATCTGGTGGATTTGAACCGCGTACCTCTGGGATTGCAGTGCAGCTTCTTGCCACTAAAAGAATACTTTTTAAGGGAACTCTTGTGGCCTGGTGGTAAGAAGTTGTGTTGCAATCATGAAAAATATTCCTTATAAGTGTTTAGTGATATTGTTTTTGTAATAACGGAGGTTCTGTTGGTGTAGTACCTAGGGAGCTGCACTGTTACCAGAAAGGTCACATCTCTCTGGAGGTTCAAATTCACTAGTAGCTCTGGCTCCTTGGGAGAAAAGATTAATCATTTCTTCCCATGTGATTTGGAGCCTGAGGAATCCAGTGAAACATCAGCTACGAGTTTCTGACTCGATGGCAATGAGTTTGAGTAAAATGGGGTAAGATTATATGACACTGCAAATATTAAATGTTTGCAATACAGCAACTGGAATAAAAATCCATCCCGAGTGTTGGCAGCCCTAACACCAAACCCTAAGAAACCCTCACTAATGCTCACCTCCAGGATCCCGGTCTGGGTTATATTCTAAAGCATTACTACAGATAAGATCAATATCACTCAGGTAGTCTTTCACAGTCAGATACTTATGTAGATCAATTTTACTGATTACAGATGAAAGGTCCATCGGTTGCTTTATGACACTGACATAATCAGGAACCTAAAATTAAAAAATGAATCATTTAATTAGCTCTTGAACATAAAGCACATCTGACTCACATTTCTGTAACAGGCAATGTAGTGGAGAAAGAACAGAAACATAGAAGTTAAGATAACATATTGATATGAAACCTTTGACTCAATGTAAGGGTGGATTTAAGTTTATTCTTATTCTTGGGTAGCTACCTCTTCTATTCCAGTAATGTCCTCTATCTCTTTCCTCATCTACATGCCACCCATCCTTCAATGTCAACTTACGTCTTGGCTCATTCGTGAAGTCTTCTGCAAATACTTCAACAGGCCACAGTAATATCAGGAGACATTAAAAACATTCTTAAAATGTTTGTAAAAAGCTTGAGGTGGGCAAAGTTTATTGTGCAACCTCTACTAGAAAGGAAAATGTGTAGCTCCCAATCCTCCACATGAATAGGATACTGTTTCTGTATAGCGAACATGAATTCACTGTACAGACAGTAACTATTCAAATACTCTCTGATTTTGAAACATCACTGCTTAGAACATATAAAAAAAACAAATGACTACCTCATCAGGGTCAACAGGCTTGGTAAATACACGGAATCGTTTGTCAATAGCAAGCCTATGTGTAACATTTCTCAAGAAAATTCTCAGTTCTCTAAACGTATCTTCTTCTTGTTCTTCAAGCCGTTTCACTTCCTCTTCTGTCAGTGGCCTTGGTTCAGGTGGTGGTGCTACTGGAAGTACCTCCAAGGCCTGTAAAACTTGAAATGAACGCAAGATTTTAATTAATGTCTTCTACAGCATCAAAAGAGACAACCAAATCAGTGCAAGAGTTAGTCAGGTTTTGAAGGATTATCCCTACATTTGCTAGAAAGCCAAAAACTTGGAATAGCATCACGTTATCATAGTACATACTCCGACATTCCCTTCAGAACCAACTGGAAATTTGTAATTCTACTTCCTAAAGGTAATTATATCTCTGTTCCATTTAAAAAATTATCTAATGAGCTATTAAAATGTCAAAAAAGTATGATTTATAGGACAAGAATATTAAGTTTAAAATGTCTTCTTTGTTAAGTTTTGGATTAAGGAAAAACCCATGATATATAGTATCACAAAAGTTAAACTTTGCTTAAACAGATATATGCTAAACATCTGCTTACTAAAAGAGCTGGTATTGTATTAAGGAAGAGAAACAATTACAAAAGCAACGTCAAATCCTATTAGTAGTATGAAGAAAACACAATGAGTATAGACGTAGGAATTTTATATACTTTGGAACAAAACTGCAACAAGAACAAAAATGTGTATGATTTAAGAGTTCTTGATAAAGACAGACTGAGGCTGTACCACAAAAGGCCTCAAATGACTTAAGAACTGTAAATACTTTTAATGGAAAGCATAGCTTTATGAACAGTAGAGAGGCATCAACTCCTGACTGTGGTTTTGAACTATCATTAATAAATGGAAAAATGCCATCAAGTATCTCAGAAATTAGCCTTATTCTCTCTCAAAATGATAGCAACCTGAAAAGAACTATAAATTAAAAAACAACACACAGAACTAGTCATCTTGATACAGAAACAAACCTGCTTTCTTTCTTGATATAGGAGGTTTAGCAGCTTGTTTTAAAATTAAATCTTCAAAAAATTTTGTTCGTTCATCTTCATTAGGTAATTGGACATTAAAGATTTCTCCATACTCTCGGATGAATAATTCCTGCACCTTAAAAAAACACAAACACACACACAAAACCAAATCACATTACATATACACACACCACCTACATATGTAATTGGAGGTTATTATATTTTTAATGATACTCTAAATTATGCAATAGAGAAGTGGTTTTTAAAGACAAGATTTTAAATGTGCTGGATTTAAGTAAAACAATGTGTGAATTAGCTTGTTAGGGCTGCTGGGCATACTTGTTTCAACTCTTGAACCATATGTCTAACAGAAGGAAGGATCTCGGTTCTGCTCCCAGCCTCACAATTGTAGCAGCTACTGTTTCAATCCATCTCATTGATGGTCTGCTTCTTTTCCACTGGACCAATTCAATAGCTTTAAGACTACAATATACGGCCTCTTGTTTAAACCTCAAGCCTCCAAATATAATTTATAAACTAGTGGATGTGAGAGTATTTACTTATAGAGTCTAAAAGCAAGGAATTTCACTTTTACAAACTAAAGTGAAATATGAAACTGAGTGGTCAACTCAATAATCAAACAAAGAAATTACAAAATGATGCTTCTGCCAAACTTCTAGACCTTTTACTGTATTGTGACTACGGAATAATAAAGATTAGAGAGAAAGGTATCATAGGCCCCATTCTGCCCTTTCTAAATTATTTTTTTTTTAAAATTTTATTATTTTTGTGTGTGTGTACCGTCAAATCAGATCTGACTGGTACAGGAGATTGTCCCTCCTTCCTCAGAGCATCGTGCGCCTCCGGGATTGCAGTGCAGCTTCTTGCCACTAGGGCACCAGAGCTCCCCTTCTAAAGTATTTTTAAAAGGACAGAATGTTGAAACCGACATAAATTGATTTAGAAAAACAAGTAATTTTGCTAAATTGTTTTTCATCTGTTACTTTTCCTCTTCAGATATATGGGTGTTTTGTTCCATGAGGGGGTTGGGGAATGAACAGGATGGGGGAGTTATTTCACTTAGAAAGATCTCTAACTGGTTCTCTATGAATAGTTAATTTTAATCAGATATGCTGTCCAGAAGGTTGTCTTCCTTAAATGCTTGTTTAAAACCCCATATTTGCATTCAAACTCTGGCTATTTATATGAATATATATGCTACTTCTGTTAATTCTAGCTTCTCCCTTCAGTGATTATGTAACAAGTTAGCCTGCACTGAAAATAGAAAGCGCCCATATCTTTTGGGTACAAGAATGAGAACATTTGTCCCCATTCTTCCTGAATATCAAAACCACACTGTCATTGAATTAGAACTGACTCAATGGTGACCCTCCAGCAGGTTTTTGGAAGTTGACCAACCGTACAAGAGGCAATGACATCTTTCTCCCATGGAGTCACTGGTGGATTTAAACCACCTGAAAGGGGCTATCTTTGGGTTAGCAGCCAAACTCCCTACAGACCATGCCACCAGAGCTACCATTAAAGCAGGAAGTTATAATCAAAGACTACATCCTCACCTGTGAGCCCTTCAGGGCAGCTGGCAAATAAAGGAATGTAACAAAAATGACTGATAATTTGCAATCCTCTACATTATCCAAGTCATTACATAACTATGACAACTGAACTAACTTGTTCAAATATGGCAGAATGTTGCTTCTATACTTCTTTTTCCTACAGCTAGAAAATCCAATCCATTTCCTACTGTTGGTTTGTTTTATCTTGTTTTGTTGAGATACTGTTTTCTTAAGGGGGAACAGAACCACAAGAGAGTGCTTTGGGCAACACACACAGAAATCTTTTGTTTGAAAGAACTGTATCTGGAGATTTTCATGTATCTTAGCCATTTGTGATATCAAGTTGATAAGACAAAGAAAGTTTAACATAATCATTGTGTTCCTTAACTCCATACAGCAACAGCAGAAAAGCAGCTGATCAGCTGCACATGGAGAAGAGTCAGAGAATTCTTCAGCACTACAGTGTAACAAGAATGAGGAAGATTTCCATCCTTGGTTTAAATATAGTGCAGTGACATATTAGGCGCTGCGAGTCCATCAGCTCTTGTGCCCACCCTCACTGTTCTAACTGAAAACAAATACTCTGTTGATAAGGCCCAACTAGAGGATAGACAGATAGGGCTTGTTCACTCCTTCCTAGCACTGATCCAAAGCTGAAAACCATACCTGTTTTTCACAGTATCTGTTCATGCACATGTTTGAACTGTAGATTTTTTTTTTTTACTCCTTAACTTTTTATTTTATATTCAGTAATTTTGCTAAACTTTTACAAAATAAATTTTGAGATTTTAATGAAAAGTTTAGAAAGAACCTGGATTTCTAT